CCAAAAAAATTACACTACTCACAAGAATACCCCAAAAAAATCGAAATTGCGCTATTCATACGATGTTGTGTCAGCGAGAGAGTCTTAAACAGGAGGGCGGGTGGTGCAGCCTCCCTCCCTCGTGAAGACTATTTAATGGCTGGAAAGAGAGAGAAATCTCAAACCCTTCTGAAGTACCTCGTAAAGACGATATCGTTTAATTGCCTCGTTGCTGCTTCGTAACTTCGCTGATTGGTTAAACCGAACGAATATCAATCCTGGCAGCTCGTCTGATCAAAATTATCAAGTGCTGCTACAGTGAGGTAGAAGCTACTTAATGCTTCCCATTCACTGTTGATTCTTAATAGAGCCAGCTTGGCCGAGTGGTTATCGCACTGGCCCGTGAGTTTTAAGGATTCACTCGCCAAATGTTTAATCCCCACCCGTTCCGTGACTTACTTCCCATGCTAGGAAAGACAGGCATTCCAGAGAACAAGTCAGCCTAGGAAACATCATGATCCCCAACTAGAAGTTGGGGGATGCCCGGGTGTTGTGCATGTGTCATTTCATCCTGTCGGTATTATATACAATTCTTGTACTACTACTACTACTACTACTACCACTACCTCAACCTCTTCCTGCCTATATATAGCCGTCCTGCTCCACCTCTGTTAGTGTGACTTTGTCAATGGTCCAAGTCGGACCGAAACGTCGTCGTAAGCTTCTCTCTTTTATGTGCGGGTTATTTGTGTATAGAAGTGCAAACCAGCATGACTATTCACTCTCACCTTGAGCTGTAAAGTGAAATAAACACTTGGCAGATTAAGCTCTTACTATTACATACGTTTCTTTCTATGTAGAGCTCGATAAATTCAAGACCTGATGAAGCTCTAGACAGAGCGAAATGTCTCAATGAAAGCTTCTTCTGCAACCTGCGGCTCTTTCTAACTTCTATCGACACCACAACATTTAGGTGTATTCTGAGCTTACAAGTTAAATTAAATATAGGAACATCGTCATTTTTCAGTTATCTTGTTTCAAGCGATATTTACGATGTGTAAACAAAATTACAATTGTTTTAATATTGTATTCTATTACACACAATGTTTAGCTATTGTATTCAGTCACACACAATGTTTAGCTATTGTATTCAGTCACACACAATGTTTAGCTATTGTATTCAGTCACACACAATGTTTAGCTATTGTATTCAGTCACACACAATGTTTAGCTATTGTATTCAGTCACACACAATGTTTAGCTATTGTATTCAGTCACGCACAATGTTTAGCTATTGTATTCAGTCACACACAATGTTTAGCTATTGTATTCAGTCACACACAATGTTTAGCTATTGTATTCAGTCACACACAATGTTTAGCTATTGTATTCAGTCACACACAATGTTTAGCTATTGTATTCAGTCACACACAATGTTTAGCTATTGTATTCAGTCACACACAATGTTTAGCTATTGTATTCAGTCACACACAATGTTTAGCTATTGTATTCAGTCACACACAATGTTTAGCTATTGTATTCAGTCACACAATGTTTTCTTCATTCAGTCCCGCACAATGTCTATTTACAAGGTTAATTTTGTGGCTATAGAAATGCAAGTTGACACAGTTCTAAGCTGCGCTATCACCCTCTAGGATGCTATCTATTTTCTTTAGGCGATCAGGGACAACACATATTAGGAAATCCGTTATACGTCTCGCCGAGCCTGGTAAATGAACCTGTGTTTGTCTGGCTGTGAGGCGACCACTAATTATTTAACTACTGGTCACTTGTCGATCATACAGTAATGAAATATGTCAATCTGGACTCACACAGCTGGAGAGGAATATAGGTAGGTAGGTAGGTAGGTAGGTAGGTAGGTAGGTAGGTAGGTAGTCAGGTTCGCCAGGAGAGTCCCGGCCCGACAAGGAAGAGAAAGGATTTAGGGAAGGGGGTTTAGGAGAGACGATTTAATGGATGAGATTTATGGGAGGTGGCCCATTGGAGGTGATTTATGGGTGGTTTTGGGGTAGATGGTTTAAGGTAGGAGATTTATGGGATGTGATTTATGAGAGGTGATTTAGGGGAAGGGGGTTTTAGGGTAGATAGTTTAGGGTAGGAGATTTATGGGAAGTGATTAAGGGGAGATGGTTAAAGAAATGGAGTTTATGAGAGGTGGTTTATAGGAGGTTTTTAATGCATAGTGCATAGAGGAGGTAATGTTGGGAAGATAGCTTTTGAGAGGATGTTTAAGGGAGGTGATTTAAAGTGGAGGTATAGGGAAGGTGTTCCAGGGGAGGTGTTTTAGGCAAAGTGGTTTAGAGGATGTAATTTAGAGCAAGTGATTTACGTAAAGGGACGAAGGGAAGGTCGTTTAGGGAAACTTGATTAAGGCATTTTGTTTAAAGCAGGTGTTTTAAGGCACGTGTTTTAAGGCAGGTGGTTCGAGGCAGGTGGTTCAAGCAAGGGGGGGAAGGATGGGAAGAACACTCTTCCAACCCAACACTGTAGTTTATGGCAC